AATCATATTTCCATTCATAGTTCTTTCAAATTCATGTTGAGTATCTTAATATCCATCAAAACCTTTATCTTGTTTTGATTAATTCCAACCAATATTATTGGATTTAATGGAAATAGCTTCTTGGAGTATAGAAGTATCATTTGATTCTAAATTTCCAAACAAGAAATCAGTGCATATATCTATTGAAATCATAGAACACTATGTTCTAACTGATTCTCATATTCTTTGGATCTATCTGCTTTCATTTTCCTCTTGAAAGTCCATTTATAGCCTAGTGGTTTACATACTAGAGGTATATCCACTAGCTCTCATGTGTGATTTGGCAAAATAGAATCCATTTCACTTTTAATTGCATCTTTTCATTAAGATCTGTAAAAGGAAGTGAATTTCTTTTTGAAAGTTTGAGGCTCTCTTTCAACCATATACATACATAAATCATTTCCAAATGATTTCTCACTTGTCCCCTTTTACTCAATCATGATCTATTTATTCCTCCATTTTCTTCTTCATGAGAGGATTCTTTGTGCCCAATTGTTTTGGAGCACTTGATAAACTCTATTGTTTTGTGCATAACCAATAAAGATGCAACCAACAATCTAGTATACAATCCTTACAACCATTGGGTTAGGTATAACACCCTTTGCGAGATACCCCCACATTCGAATGTATTTGTAAGATGATTTTATACCCGACCATAACTTAGATGGTATTTTTTTTTCTCGTTTTCTTTTGGGGTACCTTATTTAAAATGTAATTAGTTGACAACACAACTTCCCCCCACATTAAGTGTGGCAACCTAAAACATAAGCAACAACATGACATATTTCATTTAATATATGATGTTTCCTTTCGGTGATGCCATTTGTTATGGTCAATAAGGTGCCTTAAGCTCATGTTTAATTACATGACTTGCAAAAAATTCCTCAAATGGTGATGTATATTCACCTCCACATTCACTCTTTTTATTGAGATGATTCTCAACCTCACTTTTGTACAATTTAAACTTGTATATAGCCTCATCTTTACTTTTAAGTAAATTAACATAACAAAGTTTAATGCAATCGTCAACAAAAGTAATAAAGTACTTATATCACCGTTATATGGATTCGAATTCATATCACACACATTTGTGTGAATTAATCCAAGGGGTTTAGTTGTCCTTTTAACGAACCTGAACGATTGGTGTGTTAACTTTGACGTAACACAAGTGTTGCATCCATATTTTGACTTATATGAAAGTGAGATATGTGTTCAAGTTTGATTAACCTTCTTAACGTATCAATATTAACATATCCAAATCTAGCATGTCACACATTAGAAATTTAAGCAAGTAAGCGGAAGAGTTATCCAACTCATTGGTATTAGACTTATTAGCCAATATATGGAATTTAAACATTCCACCATCCGCATAACACTTGCCTATAAACATACCATTTTAAGTTAGTACAAACTTATTGGACTCAAACACCAAACAAAAATCCATTTTTGTTCAACAACCATCCAAACACTAAGTTCTTCCTAATCAATGGAACATACAACACATCATTAAGTGTTAGCTCTTTTCTATGTGATACTATTTCTGGAATGTTTTAAACACCAAATTTAAGTGTTTAGAATCATAATTTCAAGAATAAATTTCTGCCTCAACTTGGACGACCTTATAATTCTTGAGTCACTCCCTCTTTGAGCACACATGGCGTGTAACACCCATATCAATCCATCACTCAATGGAGTTAACATCCATAGAGTTTACTTCGAAAATCATTCCACTATGGATGGTGACATTTCTGAAATCATTTATACACTAAATATAAATGTTTAGAATTCTAATTTTCAAAAAATATGTTTGCCGCTTGCTTGGACAAAACTCAACATAATTAAAATCTATATTTGAACAATTATGAAACTTGATTTCTGATGCAGGAATTCTAAAATTTGATTTCTCATGCAGAAAACTGATGCATAAATTATGATATCAGAAAACTGATGTTTTCTTTAAACAAAACTACTTAAATGTTATGTTTTTGAGTAAAACCAAGTTGTTTTCTGATTTCCAAAGCTGTTTTACATAAAATTGAAGTCGATTTGACTAAACAAAGCCTTTTTGTTTTTCACAAAAAAATGCAGTCTGTTCAAGACTGCTTTAGCCCCACTTAATCCGGTCAAAACTGAAATCTAATTTCGTAATCGAGTAGGCCTGTCTCTTAGCTTTCCAGGGACTACTTGCACAAGAGCATACGATTTTTCTACAATTTATTATGAATTTTACAAAACTGTGTATCATAGCTGTTAAAATCTAACCAATCAGTGAAAATCGTATTTTTCACCCTAGTTAGAGTTGTTTACAGCTTTCAGCCAAAACTAATGAAACGAAGTAGACTCATATACCAAACTTTGAGAATTGGTTTCAACCAAAAATGAGCATCGATGATTAAGTTATGATTTTTCGAATATTGTGACAGATTAGAACATTTCACAGCAACACGTAAATTGTGTTTTTGAGTTAAGATAGCTTCTTAACCCATTAGGTACTTAATAAAATCAGTACCGAAGCTGGAAAATTCGATACTTAAAAACAAATACATGTCTTAATGACTTAATGACCAAAGATGCTTCAAAACAGGAAAAAAAAATCAAAATTTTTTTAAGAAAATCGTACAATATCAAAATAATGCAAGTGAATTGTTTCCGATTTCTAGTTCGTTTTGTACAAACGAATTTGTTTTAAGATTGTAGGAATAATATTACAGAAATGTACGAAAACAAATAAGATATAGGAAAAAGTTGAGGCATGTGTTTAACACATTGTCGTTAAAACAAATTCGTCCGCTATCGGATGTTTGTTTCCCAGGATACAACAACTAGAAGTGGTTCTTCTAGACCACCCGAACCCTCATTAGACCTGAATTTTACCTTCAATATAGCTAGAAAAAGAAGAAGATGAAGTGGGGAAGAAGAGAGTTTTCTTGCATTCTTTTTGGTGTACTCAAATGGTTGTATAGTAGTAGTATTTATGCCACACATTCTATAACCTTCCAATTAAACACCTCTATTAATCACAAAAATTAATGTGTGTTAATATGTAATTAAATTGTAATATTAATTACAATTTCAGTTTCAAAAGAAAGAAATGTTTACAAGAAAGGTCCCTAAACTTTTCTTTTCTTTCTCCCAAGCATTAAACTCTTTTATTTACTTCTTCCAACACCCTTACTTTAAGGATTAATTTCTCATTCATATGAATCCATTTTGGACGTGTTAAAAAAAAGGGGAAAACCCATTTTTATAAATTGATTAACACCAATTTTCCGACAAAATATATATATATATATATATATATATATATATATATATATATATATATATATATATATATGTGTGTGTGTGTGTGTGTGACACATTTTTTTTTATTTGTCGATAAAACAAGTAAACTACATTGTCTCTTTCAAAAAAAAGTAAACTACATTGCTATTTTTGTCTCTATAACAATTATGTGTTTAACATTTTTGTAGGTACAAGATTTGCAGACCTAAGTTCAACATAGTATGCATTGGGATGGGATGGAAGTGCGTTGTCAACGAAGTATTGAAAAGCATCTTTGTTTAATTAAGAATGTCAAGATTTCGAAGGCACTCTTCGAAAAGAATGTGAAAAATCCGGATTGTGCCATAAAAAGAAACTGAATGGTCTAAATTCCATCAACAAGCAAATATGAATGAACTTTTGAGGAAACTCATGCAAGGCATCCCGACAGTATCCATTCAACAACCTATTTGACCCGTCGTACTAGTTTTATGTTTTTAGAATTTTGTATTGGATTTTTTAGATTTATATTTATTGTAGTGGTTTATACTGCAATTTTGTTCATTTATTAATTATTAGACTTTTTTTGTATAATAGATTTTTTTTTGTAATTTTTATAATTTAAAACAATATTTATACGAATGATGACGATTATCTGCCGCTAAAGCACTGAACCGGCTGCTATCTGTCAGTAGGGTCATCCATCGCTAACCGTCGCAAATCTGTACTAAACGTTTGTCGCCAATCTATGACAAATATCTTGGTATGTCGTTTAAACTATGGTTTCAAAGTTGGTGGAAAATAGAATGGACAGATGACAGACATTTATTTCTTTAGTTAAACTATGGTTTAAAAATACTTCTAGCCCAACGGTATTAAGTGTTTCACTCCCTCTTTCAGGTCGAGGGTTCAAGTTCCGTTGTCGACATAGGTGGAATTAGGTGTGTTAGGTTAGGAGTAGATTAGATTTGTTGGTCCGAAAAAAAAAAAAGATGACCGACATTTATTTCTTTGGAAGTTTTCGGGGATAATTCTGTTGCTTTTAGCAACAATACAATACCATGATTATTTAATTGTTGTTAAATTGTTGCACACATGGATCATCGATTGATAGTTCCGTGTGAAATTTTGTTTTATTGTGGTGAATTATGATGACTTTTCTGCTCATATAGCGCTGAACAATCAAGATTTTGACGATTCGAAAATCTGGTGACCGGATACACCCGAAAACATTCCAGACTAGATGTCACACACTACTTGTCTTTCAGACTTTCTGATTATGCCATGACAACAACTCATAACACTTTGAGAAGTCATCTCATGATATCATTTATAACACTTCAAATCAAAGCATGAGTTGTAAGACACTTATTTTATAGCCAAAACTGATGTAACACGAGACAATGAAATGCAATCCATAACACTTTAAGGACCTAGATCAGATTACCACCTAGTGATACATATAAAAGATATTTAAAAAAGGAACAACGAATATCAAGCTAGTCTTATACTCTTATCCAAATGATTATGACTTCCTGATAACCTAGGAGTTATTGGTTCAAACTTCAAACCCCATAATCAGCTCCTCCACCGAATCACAGGGGAAGGTATCAACAAAATGGCGACAAATTAAAATGTTACCCTCTGAATATGATTTGATTTTCCTGTATTTCTAAAAACCTAACAAAAAGTTTGCTCTAGAGTAACCCATGATTCCCATGTGACGGTGTAATACTTTGAGGATACTCATAAAGGTCTCCAAATGGATTTGAAGTACTCCTAGCATGCCCGTTATTGTATGGTACTAACATATTCTGTTGCTGATATGGTTGTGATTGTGGATAGAGTTGTGGTTGTTGATACAATTGCAGATATTGGTTACTATATGGTTGTTGTTGTTGGTTCATCATCATGAATGGATCTTGTGCTAATGGTTTTTGATCAAAAGGATTATATTGCATATTGTATCCGTAGCTTGTGTTATATCCAGCATTTTGGAGTTGTATTTGTTTTCTGGCAGCATTATCCTCATATAAACTGTCTAGTAAGAACTTGTCGATTCCGCCACCCTAAAATACGTATTCAAAACACAGAAAGTGGCTCAATGGTATAAGTAGATTTTTAGTAATTTTTGTTGAGATCCAGTTAGGTCCATTTGTTAGCTGTATATGAAAAAGCACTTAATTTGTACTCGTTTAGCGTTTAAGTGCATTTATCAGTGAGACAAAAAGTGCAATTTTGTGCCCCACCCAAAATCTAGATCACAGATAGAGATCTCGATATCTTGTTACTGAAAAAGACATGAGTGTCCTCCTCGTTTTAATAAAAAAAACAACCAAGAAAAGTTATGCAGTCTAACATCTTGTCCAGAACCTTTTGAGGTCCCAAAAAAGTCTTCTTTATTTAAAGAATGAGATGAAAACTGACCAATCTAGCCTGTGAAGTGTTGACACTAATGTTGATGTTACAGTCGACTAGTGCAAGCTCCCATCCTGGTGCCTTTTGGATCTCACTCCAGTCCATGGACGAGGATTGATGATCATGTCCTGCGAAGGGGTTCAGTTATATCGTCTGATTTCTTTCAAAAAAAATATATATATTTAAATTAGATGAACAATTATACATAAAGGATCTCATACCATTTTCAACAATGGCAAGGGCCATTGCATTGCTTTCCTCTAATTCCTTAGCATTTGGGTTAATTTCATGCAATCCCTACACATAGAATTATCAAAAATTGCACACACGTGTTAGAAACCTAGTTGGGTAGAAGACGATCAGTGCTAGTAACAAAACGTAACTTACTAGTAAATCATCAACTAGCAATGCTTCTTTTTCTTCAACTTGTTCATCGTTATTCTCGTTTTCTTGAGAGTCAGTTTCTTCAGTTCGTTCCTCCTCTTCTTCGGTATCCTCGTATTCCTAATTCCATTTCAAATTAAACATTCCAGTCGATAAAATCGGTTTCAAGTGCTACATGTTTTAGTTAAGAAGGAAAGTTACCAGTCTCTCAATCGAAAGCAAACCTATTGAAGGAGCTTCCCTTATATATTCCTCCATTGTCGTAAGAAACGAAGGTGGTGGCTAAAAGTAATAAAAAATCATTTCACAATGCATTAAAGAAAAAAAAGTACATAACCTATTATTAGCTGCACCAAGTCATATACCTGTTTCAATGTTGGAAACTGAAAATTCCTTGCAATATCTAAGTGTCGGCAAAAGTCATAGAGCTCAGCAAGGTATTCGGCCTAATGAAATGAAAATGATGTAATAATATATATCAATTTTGTGGTATATCGAGAAATAGGAAAGAAAGAAACAATGTATTAATACCTGTTTCCCCGCTTTTTTGTATATATTCAAAGCTTTTATAGCATCGTGTTTAGGCATGTCGAAGAACTAGAAAATTTTGATGGTGTTTAGCTCTTGGATTATCAAAAAAGACTCGACTTTGATCGAATATAGTCATGAAGTTTCCAAAAAACTAATGACAATACCATATCGACAAGATGTATGATCCCATCATTGATAGCACAATAGATCTTGAAGCTTTCTTTCACAACTAAAGCCAATGCAAATTGCACAAGATAGTTGCGGTAAGCCGCTCCTTCGGGCTACAAAAATCATTCATTTGCTTTGTATATTTCCATTCAAGAAAGCAAAATATGCAAAACCAGATGTATGTTTACCTGACATCCAATAAGACGATACAATAATTGTTGCATTGCAGAAAGTTGCTCTAGTAGCTCATCACCACTCATCGCTCGTCTTCTACTATACGTCTTCACGAAACTTTAGTCGATTAAACTTAGACAAAGCATTTTTCTTTTTGCAAAAAGTGATAATTTATGCCCAAACATCATAGTTATAACTTTTGGCAACACAAAATTGTCGCTAGTCCTTAGCAACAATGCTTTGAGACAAAATATGTTAGGTGCAAGAGGTGAACTTCTTGGTAATTTGGTTTATATACATAAGTAATAAAATAAAATTAGGAATCACGACACACCTCTATTCCATATTTAGTCAATCGCTCGGACTCGATATCATATTTTAACACTCTAAAACATTCTAGCCGTTCCTCAATAAACATTCCATACGTTCGAACCCATGCTGAGCAATCCCAAGCTTTATCCAACAAGATTATGAGTTAAAAAACAAGAAATTTGTCAACATGTAGTATTGTGTTCTTAAAGAAGCATTTGCGTTTTTTTTTTTCTTACCAAGAGGGCTCGAGTCATCTTTGAAATTGGACACTAGGAAAACTTGTCCCGGGTGTGAATAATTAAGTAACTCTTCTCTAAAGGAAGGATCACCTTCCCTTAATGTCCTATGAAACACTATCAATGTCTTTATGGCAACCTGCATTAATCAAAACTATCAAGGAGAAAACATATGAATAATACCAAATTCCATATTGAACAAACGTTGCTAGCTAGCATGTCTTTTTCATTAGAAGCAAGTTGTGCCCAATGTGACAAGTTACTTAGAACCTGATAGTAGCCAAGTGACAAGTGTCACTAAATTTGTTAAGTTTTTGCTTTTTTATTTTGCATCATAACATTTAGCTGAATAAGTGACACGTTTTCTAGTAGCGTAGTTATATTAGCTAAGTGAATTCCACATTGACGCTTTTGTAGCCTCAAAACCGATCAAATTTACTGGTCAGATCTTATCTGACTTGTATTACGTTACGAAAGATACAAACACAAAGATAATGAAGAAGAAGACTTTACGATCCAATTTTTAGTCCTCGATAATCTCCTATACAGCGCGTGAATGCAGTATGCAACATCTGCCCGTGGTACAACTACTGATGTAACAGAAAAGATCTCTAGCATCAAAAATAAAACATGACACTTGAATCAGATCTGGAAAATATAAAGCCGTAACAAGTCGATTCATAATAAATACAAATGCAATTCTTAATTACTTATGATCACGATTAAATTTCTAACAATTGAGCTAATTAACGGCATTCAGTTTTCAATTGAAATACACTGATCAGTCTATTTTTATGTTGGAACTGAAATTGTAATCATAACATATTAAACTCACTTCTAACGTGGCGTTCTTTTGGCGGACATTCGACATGACTCGTGGCTTTGACAATGGCAACGTCCAAATCCTTCGATCAAAATTACCCAAAGAAAAATAAAACTAATATAACTATTATATGAAAAACTATATTAATAACTGGAATTAGAACACACCTTGAATTCGCTATTGACCTTTGCAAGGCCAACCGTGGTGGAGTCTTTGAGCGCCCCATAAGCCTTTCTGAAGCTTCCGAATGTACCCATTGAATTTGCCTGCAATCTCTTTCATAAATTTATGTAATTAATATATTCATCTCTAGACATGAAATTCAAATCTGAAGAACAAGATGAATAGTGGAAAAGGGGTTTTTGACTTTTGTCGTTTTTTCCTATTTTGTGGTTTGAGTTCAACAATAATATCTCTCTACCCTAATTTCCCATTAGAGAGAGAAATTAAATTTATTTAGTATATAGATAGAGATATTGGGTAATTTAACCATATAAACGAATAATAACAACCAATTTATAATTTTTTTTTTTGAAAAATGATCACAATATCCGGAATAGAGCATTCTGGAGGAGCAGTATTCATTCTGGAGCTTCTAATCTAGAATTTTTCTACGTACATTTCGGATTGACAAAATCAATTTCGGAGTATGGTAGTCGACATCGTACATAGATGTGACATTATGGAATCACAAACACACATTTCAGACACAAATTTCGGACCCAAAAAAACAACATTTTTCTTCCAATATATATAAATGGTATGTCATGTAGTTAGCCACTTACTTCAGATTATCCGTAATTATCTATTATAATTGCTTCAAGATGAGTTTTTTCAGACAACAATCACAAAGAAAGCTTTACAAACCTATTTGTTTGCCTACACAACCTTCCAGGCCAACCCTTATAGTTACTTAAAGAATATTTATGCCCAAAAGTAATTATAGAATGATATTGCTAATGACATATGATCTTATAGGGTCACAACTTATACCAAATTACTACTGATTGATTATTTATTAGAGTAATTTTGATTATTAATAAATATCAACACTTTTACTTAATTGGAAAAAACATTATTTTATGAAAATAAAATTTACTAACATATTGAGAATTATTATTTATAGGAAATAATAATAAAAGAGAATATGAAACTATATATATATATATATATATATATATATATATATATATATATATATATATATATATATATATATATATATATAGTTTGCAACGTATTGAACACTTAGAGTAAGTCCTTTAGTTAGGCTCCAACTTCTAGTTACATGATGGAGTAAACTACATACTTTGGTTTTGACTTTGCTCATAAAAACCACCAACCTCTTAAGAGGATAAGAGGTTGAGTGTGTTGGAGAATGGTATCCACAGTTACAACACAGTCACAGCAATCGGTAATATTACTATTAATAGTAGGGTATTTTTACGTTACTCGCAAGGACAAAAATAAGCAAAAAATAACAAGAGAATTTTATATGGACTTGATTTGTTAATTAATTAATTGTCTTTAATTAATTTAATGAAATCTAGAAGTTTTGGAATGTTCTGGCGGATTAAACAAGATAATTTAAGCAGACAGATAATTGCCAGTTATATGGATAATTATAAGGTAACTAGATAATTCTCTTTTAGGGTTTTATATCCTTCCCTATAAATAGAGAGGTCTATGGAAGAAATTAGATGATGAGTTTTCTTAAAACCCTAAGAAAATTTCGACTACCACTCTTTATTCTTGTAACCACCAAAATCATGACACCACGTCGTGGTGGCTACATTGGCATGACGTGGCGGCGTTGCACCACCACTTTCAAATTTTTTGGTTCTTGATCGGCTACTGTCGGATGTTGTTGTTCTGAGTGCCTTGTGTGCAACTACAAAAGAGGAGTTCTATGTTGGACTCTTAACACTCATCAATCAATCAAGGATCAACGAAGGTTTCGACGACTAAAAGGTATGTATTCTCGCATACTTAAGTTGCCATGGATTGGTTGTTCATAGATCTATTTTCGGGGCCTACTGAATATTAAAATATGTTTCTTCTGATGTCTTTAATATTGTCTAAGTATCCCCATAACCCAACATTGATATCAGAATGGTGTGTACACATCTATTGGTGTGTACACATCTATTGTAATTTAGGTTTTCCGTTCTTGTGTGTTTAATTGAGTTTACATGCTTAGATCTGATCTGGTTTCTGAATTTTAAATAGTTTTAAATGTTTTAGAAACTAAACTATATGAAAAATCGTGTTTTCTTGAATATTCTCTAATCACCACAGCGTGGTAGGTCCTCCTCCACGACGTGGTAGGTCTGATCAGAAAACGTGTTTCTATGTCTCATCACGGCACAGTGGCTAGTCTGCCACGATGTGGTGATGTTGTTCATATATTACTTCGTTTATATATATATATATATATATATATATATATATATATATATATATATATATATATATATATGTATTATAGTTGCCTTGTTTTTCTTGACTGCCACTTAAATTATTTGTCTCGATTTAGTTCAGCATGAAAAATTGTTAATTTTACTAATGTTGGAAAAAATTATGCTTATTGGTTTAATTAATCAATTAATTGTTTCATTAATTAACTAAAACTCAAGGAATTAGATCTTGTTGATTGAATGTATTAATTACGAACATTATATCCTCACGTGTTTGAAAGAATTGTCAGTCTCACCACGACTAGGTTCACCTACTCCAAGTGCTAAAAAAGGAAGGTTTAAGGAGATCTCTCTATTTCCGAATGAGGTCGGCTCTTAAGTAGCATTTAGTGCTTGCCCCCCTCACCACCTTCTTACATTTTCGAGTAGATTTACTGAAAGGGTTTGATAGGACACTTGGTTTGTTAAAAGTATTAACATTATAAGTGATGGATTTATTGATCTTAATTGATTAACAAGTATGAAAATCGAAAGAACACAAAGAGATATCATAAAGTTTTCACTAAGAAAGGGTTCTCACAAAGAGAATGAGCACAAAGCTCCCTAGGGTTCAATGATCAATGTAGCATTCGGTTCCTGATACATATTTAAATTCAAGTAATTTTGTATTTTACACTAGGACTCGGCGGGTTGGAGACCCAACTCGTCGAGTAGACTCGACATTATACAGGGGTTTTAGTGATCTACTCAACGAGTCGGGGGACCGACTCGACGAGTAGAAGCTGTCTGGATGAAACCCTAATATTTAGGGTTTGCACCCTATTTAAACAACTGAACTCGTCCCAAACCAGCCTCCATTGTCCCTCTCACTTCCAGAAGATCCTAACTCGAAACCCTAACCATTTATTGAGTGTTCTTGAGCTTTTTGGTGCCATTTTTGTGTGTTTGAAGTTTGAAGAAGAGAAGGAAGTTCGGAAGATCAAGAGAGGGCTAGTAGATCCAGAAGTTTTGCTTCATTTCCACCTCATTCAAGGTAAAAAGCTTCAACCTTGACTTCTCATTTGATGGATCTTCTCTAGGGCTTAGATCTTATCATTTTTGGGCATTTCTAAGGCCATATTCGGATTGGGTGTATATCATGGAGTTACACTCCAGATTTGGAACCATTGAGGGTTCCCATGGCATAAAGGTGCCAACTTTATGGCCATGGGAAGCCTATGCACCACATAAACCCCATTTCATAGCCTTTTGAGTCAAAAACCCCATGCATGGACATCAAGGTTGTAGCTTTACATATAAAAGGGACCCTAATAGGTCAGATCTATGATTTGGATGCATTAAGACCCGCTGAAATCGACTGTGTAGTTTTGGACAAAGAGGGACTCGGCGATTCATTCATGGGACTCGGCGAGTCGGGTCGTATTTCCCATCAAACCCTTTCTGTTGATGGACCAGATGCTAAGATAGAAGAACACCCACTTGTCTAGGCTCATTAGGGACCTGGAAATCATGGAACTCGACGAGTGGATGAACAAACTTGGCGAGTTCAAGGCAATGTCCCAACCCCATGGAGACGGACTCGACGAGTTCAAGGAGAACTCGGCGAGTCATAGACTGGACACATTCATACAGATGAAGATGAACTCGACGAGTTCAAGGAGGAACTCGACGAGTCGGTTGAAGATGGTCCCGATGTTATGGTTGAAGGAGAACTTGTCGAGTTCTTGCTAAACTCGACGAGTAGAGTTGGGGTTGTAGCATTTTGTAAGGATAGGGACTCGACGAGTTGGTGGACCAACTCGGCGAGTCGAGTCAACTGGATGTTGACTTTGACTGGGGTTTGACTTTGACTTTGACCTGGACTTGAGTTGGCCCTTGTAAGGGAGGTTTGTGGGTATGAATTAGTAATCGAGAAAGGTTGTTGTGTAGGGATTGAGGAGTTGAGACTAGTGGATTTTCATACCGAGGACTGTGCTGACACTACACGATATCGAGGTGAGTTACCTTCCAGTAGTGTTGGGTCTACGGCTACAATGCCGACCCACTAGTAGGAGTTGTATGTTAGATGATTGTCTTTGTGATAATTATCTAGGTTTGCTACTACTTGATGTGTTTTATGTGCTAGCCTGATATGATGTTAGGTGATAGTAGCAGTAGAGGGAATAGTCCCCGAGTTCGGTCGTTAGGACCGAAGGGTAGGTCGGGCACCCTAGATATACCTGACAGTATGTTATGGTATGTTATTTTGTGGTAGTAGTAGGGGTGAAATAGTCCCCGTAGCCAGTTGGGATAAACTGGAGGGTAGGTCAAGCACCCCAGAACTGCTTGACATGTGTAGGTCAAGCACCCCAAAACTGCTTGACATGGGTAGGTCGGGCACCCCAGAATTGCCTGTCAGGGTTGGTTGGGCACCCCAGAACTGCCTGGCAGGGTAGGTCGGGCACCCCAGAATTGCCCGGCAGTATGTATGTTGTTAGGTATGTGGTATGATGAGGGAACTCATTAAGCTTTGTGCTTACGGTTTTCAGTTTTGGTTTCAGGTACCTCTTCGTCGAAGGGGAAGGAGTCGGCACGGTAGCAGCGCATCGCACACACATGATTCCGCATTTGAGATCCATGGGATTGTACTCTGATATTATTATTATTATTATTATTATTATTATTATTATTATTATTATTATTATTATTCCATGACATGTTTTTATAACAATTGACTTATGGGTTATGAGTTGATATGATATTGATGTTGCTTTTTAGTAAATGGTTTTATAAACTACTTATTCAAAATGAAATTTTTGGTCTTTAAAATTGGGACGTTACAATCAACTAATGATATGAAC